ATTACTTTTAGCATATTTAGTTGACTCTGCTATTGTTGCTGAAATCTTTTCTATTATTAACAGTGGTATAGTTGTTACATTTAGTAAATATTTACTATATGTCAATATTTGGTTTGTCTTTGGGTCTATATATTTGTATTGCAGATCTCTTTTCTAATGTTAAGGGAGGCATAGGAAGTAGGTTGGGAGGAGCCTGATTATGACTGCATGGTTCTGACTTGGCACACCAACCAGTCGCTGCAGACTTTCAGTATGAATTGAACAGTCCCCCTGGTTGAGAGTTTGATGTGACCGAATGGCCCTTTTAGTTGGTATTACATCTGCCAGTCACAGTGGGCATTTAATGTGGTTAGACAACATGACAGTTAACTGATTATGTCAACTTAAATAAGAAATGCTCAAGTAAACCCGATCAGCATGGTCCTAGGTGTGGCTGAAGGGATTTACTGAAGAGAGAAGAGCCATCCTGGGTGTGAGGAACAGCAACCAAAGGCTTGCCACATGAATGAAATAAAAGGGAAATGCAGAAGTAAGGCTCACTTTTGTTTCTTTCAAGGAGCTCCGGTCTTCAACTTCACCTTGGACATCATTTCCTGACTTCCAGCACAGATTCTCCGGCGTTCCAGCGCAGACTCTTCAGCCACCTGATATGGGCTCGCATGGTACACACACTACAGTTAGCTCCAGGCTTTTCCCTGGAGCCTTCAGATCGCCAGTGCACAGATGGCTCTTTTGCACTTATCCACACCTGACTCTGTAGATGGCCACTGTAAGCCAATCTTGTCAATTCATATATCGTAATACCCGATTTATGAACATTTAAATTGTGAACCTTCACAGGTATACTGTATAGACTCACTTTGTTGGGTTACTAATGAATCTGACTTATGAACAATTCTCCTGGAATGGAATTTATTTGTAAGTCAAAGACTTACTGTATATTTATATATTTTGTATTAAATCTGTTTCTCTAGTAAGCACTGACACAGATAACTGCCCTGTCTGCCATCTCTTCCACATACCTCAGTGGGAGTTCAGTGTGCTGTATAGTCTCCTGGCCTGGCATCACATATACATCTATGTGAATCACATGGACGTCTTGGGCCTTTGAATCATCCTGTTGTCTCTACCACAGAAAGGCAGGAAGATGCCCCAGAGAAGAAAAGGTCAAAGGACCACATCAGCTAACTGATGCCACATGGTGAACATTTTGGATAGATGTCACTAAAATCTCCTACAGTATGCAAATTTCAGTTCTAGCTCCTTTAAAGAATTTGACCACAATAACAATAGCCCATTATCCCAGTAAAGTGACTTTAGGTTTATTTGATCCATTATTCCTTCAAATTAGCACTTACTGTCTCCCCCCTCCACACCCAAAATTTACCCTGATTTCCACTGCAGACTCCCTGACACAGACAGCAGAATGCTCCTAAATGTTAAAGAGCATGGTTGTACATCCCCTGTCTCCAGATCTAACTCACACTCTTAGTGAATCAGAAAAAATAAAAATGGCAAAACCACAGTCTCCAAATGCAGAACACATAGATAAATGGTGATAGTTACAAATGTAAAAGTTCTTAAACAGCTATCAAGCGTAAAATTGTTTTCTTACTGATATACAGGTTGTAAAAGCATACTAAATGTTTTTATGGGTAAATAAGAGCTGCTGGGGGAAATTAATGTTAACATAATTCTCTAAGAAACTTGGGGAGAAAGATGGAATCAAGGGAATAGATAATATTTTTTAAACTTAAAGAAGTTCCTTTAAGGATCTATGAAAATACATTTAGAAACATTTCTCAAATACATGGAAGAAAAATATAAATTATAGAAATTGAACCAAACAAGGATTTACAGATGAAGAATCAAAGAAATAGAGATCATCCATGAGGGAATACGGCAAATGGTCAAGGCATCCAGCGGTGTTTCCAGCCAGATCTTTCAGGATCAAGTAATTCCACTGTTAATACAATGGCTTGAAATTATGACGTGATAAAAGCCCTTTTTTCCAAACAGTATAGTGTTAGAATAAAACTTGTCGAAGAAAGCATGATATGAAATTCTGAGCAGCTTATGTTTAAACAATGATACAGAAATCTTTTTTGAAATATGAATAATATAGCTGTTATGGTTTGTGTCTAGATGTCCCCCAAAGGCTCATGTGGTCACAGATGGTGGCTAGATCTGAAGTGTGTGATACTGCGATCAAGGAGTTGTGATTACGGAACTAGTCCACTGATTGGTTTGGCATAGTTCTGGGTAGGATTAAGGGTGCTATACCCTAGGTGTGAGTGCTATCTGTCCTAAGGGCGGGTAGGCTAGATAAGACGTAAGGCACAGAAAGAGGTTGAAAAGGGGATATTTACTCTGTCTCCAATTTTCAAACATTTTTCTCTAGCTAGGTGACCATATGTCATGATTTTACTTATTCCTGCGTAATTTCCTAGTAGCATCTCTTTCACTCTGAAGCATGTCCCAATTTACCACTCTGTATTTACCACAGTGACTAGATCATATAGGAAGTTCTGAGCATGATAGCTCTCCATTCTTTGTTGAGTGGATAGATAAATGAATGAACCATATTATATAAGAGAATGATACCTGAGAACTCCTGAGACCATCACTGCATTGCATGACTTATCCGCCTAACTCGTCACCTGACCCTTCTGTTTACAACCTCTCCCTTACACTGCATTTTTTCTTCTCTTTCTCTCCAAACGTATGGACCCAAAGGTTTTTTTTTTTTAATGTATTCTCTTTAATTGGAGGACTTAGTGAATTACCGGTAAATAAAATAACTAATTTTGAATATGTTTTTAAAAATATGTATCTGTATCTGTTTACAACTGTAAAAGTATCATCCAAAGCACTGGTTGGAAATTTTCACCTTACATTATTAGTGTTAACATTATGAATTTCTACGGTTTTTATGGAATTAAAACTTCACCATTTTCCAATTTTGTCAGATTAACATTTAGAATCTTTTCTGTACTTATCTTTCCCACAGTGACAAATCATTTTCATCTAACATACATTTGGCTTAACAATATCCATCTTTATAACATTACATGGCAAAATAAAACTATTTATTTACCTTAAATACTTGGCATGCACTTTGACAGTTTTAAACTGCCAGGCATGGTAGCACAGGCCTGTAATCCCAGCACTCAGGAGGATGAGGCAGGAGGATCGTTGGGAGTTTGACACCAGCCTGGGCTACAAAGTGAGCTCAAGGCCAGCCTGAACTGGATAGTAAGACCCTGTCTCAAAAAGACAAAAAAAAATTGTAAAACTACAAAAACTGAAATTTTTAGATCTAGATTACAAGCCTATTTTCCATTTAGGTTTATTACCCTATCTGTAACAATTTTAGACCATGTTTTTAGCTAGTTTTAACCATCAAATTTTTCATACTACTATCTCCCTAGCCCATTTACTTTTTCTGTTGGTGTCAGTGAACCAGCAAAATTTTCAGAGAAGGTTCTTGGTCAATATAATTTCTTAACCCCTTGGTATCTGAGAATGTCTTCCAATTGCCTTCATACACACATACCAACTTGGCAGGGTATATAATTCTAGTTTCAAAGTCATTTTTCCTTAAAACTCTGTAGATGTTGTTCCATTATCTGTTTTGTTTTGGTTTTTTGTTTTGTTTGTTCCTTTTGATTTGCTTTTTTTTTTTTTGAGACTGGGTCTTGCTATGTAGTTCAGGCTGGCGTTGAACTCCCTATTTAGCCCAGGCTGGCCTCAAACTTGCCACAATCCTCCTACTTCATTCTCCTTGAGTGCTGGGATTACAGGCATGCACCACCAAGCCCAGCTCCACTGTCTTTTGACATTTAGATTTGTTAGGGAAAAATCTAATGTCAGTCTGATTTTTGCCCCTTTATTAACCTGCTTTCTCTGGATACTTTCAAAATTTTCCCTTTATCCTTGAAATTTTAAAAAGTCATGAAGATATGTCTAGGTGTCGCCTTCTTCTCATTAAATTTTACAGGTACCTGTGAGTCTTTTTCATTTGCAGGCCTATGTTTTTCTTTAACTCTGTAAAGATTTCTTCAATTAGTTCTATAACTATTGTTTCAGCTTCATTTGCTTTGTCCTCTGTTTCAGATATTCCTATAATATGTAGATTGCATCTTTTGGACAGGTCCTCTATCTCTTTTTCTCATCTAAATTTCCTTAATCTTTTCCTCTGCATTCTGTGAGAATTTCTCTTGTCTTCCATTTACTTCAGGAATTTTATTTTGTAACCAACTCTTCCTATGTGCTTCCTTTAAATGAAAGGCCATGATCTCTTCCGCATGGTCATACACTACCTGTTCTATAATTAAGCCCATGCTGGTAATGGACTCTTTTATAAAATGTTCAATACTTTCTAGATGATCACTGCAGACTGGTACATCAGTATGAAGAGAAGGCATTTTCTTAATTACTTAGCTCTACTCCTCCGAACTGCAGTCTTAAGACTTTTTTGACAGATTTTCCCAACAGGGTCCAAAAACATGGTTTTTCCAAGCACCAAAATGTCTCCCCTATATCATCTCTCTTACTGAAAATTTTAAATTCATATGAATGGCTGTTGTAGTCAGGGTTTACAAGAGAAACAGTTTAATACAGAACACATAATTTATAGGATTATTTTATAATAGTCACCCAAAGAGTCAAATACAAAAGAGTGCAGGAAATCTGTCCACACACTAAAGACCCAAAGAATCAAGCTGAGGGCCTGAATCCCACAGCAATGTCCTGCATGAGTCCAGCTAAAGACCTAGAGCCCAGGAAAGTACCCCCTTACAAGTCCAACCAGAGGCCTAGAGCACAAGACATTGTCTCATGCAAGTTTGTTTCATGGATCTCTGCTGGGAAGGCCCAAAGGTCAGTGGTGAAAGCTGGAAAGTCCGTGCCAGTGGGATGAAGGATCTGTGCCAGTAGGCTGAGGGATTTGCACTGCAGCTAGGAAGCGATGCTCAAGGTGAGGACCAGAGCTCCTCACAAAAGTACCACAGCCATCCTCAGTGACAACAAGGTCCCAAGCTCCTCCAACAATGAGAACAGCTGAGTTCATATCTGGAAATCCAGCATGGGCTTTCCAATGCTCATTGGTTCTCCAAAAGAACCAACAGCCCCCACGTCTTCTTCTCCAGTTCTCCTTTTTATGTTGCTGGCAACACTCCTCAGGTGGGGTCCCCACACCCTGCACCACGCTGCTTCAGTTCAGCTTGGTGTTAAAGCTGACCACCAGTTGTCAATCCACCACAATGGCAAATTGTGTTTCTTCCATGGTCTGCTTACCTCATTGACTCTTCCCAATAACTCTTAGTGGGGTAGACATTTTTTTAACTTTTGTTTTGGCAGACAAGACACAGAGAGACTGAGTAATGGGTACAATAATCACATAGCTGATAAATGGAAAAGTATTCATTCAAATCCACATCAGTTTGAGTCCAGACTCCAAGCACACTGATGGTCCTCTGTCATCCTCTCCCAAACTATGGTAATGGTATCTTCAGGGCATGGATGCCCAGTCAAACATTAGAGGCAAGTCAGCCTTTGCAGAAACACTTTTCATTGCTTGATCTTCTCCTTTAACACAGTGTAATCAATTCAAGGTGTAAAAGCAAAAGCACCAAGTCATTCTTCTTGCAAAGATATACAAAGGACCTGATTTCCTTGTGCAACCACATGAAGAAAATTTTCAAGAACCAGTTAACAAATTCAACAATTCCTGTGTTTGATTGCATGTGGCAATAGCTGCCTGATACACATACAAAGCCATTCCATATCCTACATTTGTGCCCAGTATATTGTGTTGCAAAATGATTGAAGAAAGCTTAGGAATAAGAGAGCAGAGAAAGATTCAGGTCAATTAAACAGCCATTAATTGATGATCCACATTCATCTCTGATAATTAATTTTGTGTGTCACTTGGCTGTTTTACAGTGTCTAGATGGCCAAATTTTATTCTGGATATTTCTGCAAAGATATTTTTGGATGAGATTAATACTTAAATCAGTGAATTTGAATAAACCAGACTGTAATCTGTAGTATAGATAAGTTTCATTCAAGCATTAGAAGGTCTAAATAAAATAAAAGATGGACTTCCCCCAGTGAGAATGAATTGTGCAAGAGACAGTTTTTAGACTTGAACTGCAACATTGGCTTGCTTCTGAGTCAGCAGTCTGATGGCCTTTGGGTTCGGATTTCACTTTGTCTTGTCCCTGAGGCACTAGGCTGACAGCCCACCTTCTATTTGGGTGGTTTTTCTTTTTTGATTAATGT